GGTTGTGGTGGTGGCGTGATAGTGGTGGTGGCGGCGTGGTGGTGGTGGTGGTGGTGCTGGTGGCGTGGTGGTGTGCTTGTTGGTGGTGGTAGTAGTAGTGTGGTGGTGGCGTGGTGGTGGTGGTGGTGTGGTCGTGGTGGTGGTGTCGCGTGGTTGGTGGTGGTGTGGTCGTGGTGGTAAAACGTACATGTAGTGCTTGGTTATCTATTTATGTTGTCTAACACGCTCGCATCTTCTTTGTTTGTGTAGCGTCGATTCGGCGACGTCGAACGACCCTAACCTTCTCCTCGTCAACTCCCCAGATCGCATGCGCGGCGCCTTCTCGGCCGGACCATCGCCGTGACCAGTTTAGGCGCCTCTATGCCTCTTGTCTATGTTGCTTGTCGAACTTTACACTTGTGGTTGTCTATGTGTCGAGATTTGTTTGTGACTTCGAACTTCGAGACTTTTATGTGATGTGGATGTGGTTATTGATATGTGGATGTGCTTATTGTGATGTGGATGTCATATATATGTTTATTTGTTGACTGGAAATGCAAAAAACAAAAAAAAATTAAAACTGGCTGTGGTTTTGCCGAGGGCTATGGTCATGCCCTCGGCAAAACTGGAAATTCTGGAACACACAGAATCCCAGCTTTGCCGAGCGCATGACCATAGCCCTCGGCAAAGAGGAAGCCTTTGTCGAGAGCTGAGCCATAGCTCTCGGCAAACAAATGGCTAAAAAAAATTGTCAATATTCTTTGCTGAGAGCCATTCTGACATACGCTCGGCAAAGTTTTTTGGAAAAAAAAATCAGAAATTCTTTGCCGAGAGCTTGCTAAGGCTCTCGGCAAAGATCAACTTTACCGTGACCTCTTGCCGTCACGACGAAATTTTTGCCGACGGCCGGCTAACCCTCGGCAAATCCTTTGCCGGGAGCCCGAGATGCGGCTCTCGGCAAAGTAGCGTTTGCCGTGAGGTACTGTGCCGACTGTCCTTTGCCGAGAGCAACTCTCGGCAAAGCCTTTGCCGAGGGCAAAGGCCTCTTTGCCGAGCGTATCCGGCCCTCGGCAAAGAACCTCGTTCCAGTTGTGACTTGGATTGCACCAACCTAGCTCATTTCACAACTCATGATAAAGGTTAGTGTTCGGTTTCATCAATTATCCAAAACCAAACTAGGGCTTTCAAAAAGACAGCCTATGTTCCGTGTAACAGAAAAGAGGCAACTAGCATTGTGTGGCGTGAACAGAATCATTTTATTTGGTCGAATTGTTCACTGGATTGGAAACCAGTGAACGACCGCGGGAATGGAATCCGGGAGTTCGGGTGATTGGTGTCTATTTTAAGTTGAAAGAAAAAGAAGACAACAAAAGGTATTCAGTTTTTTACGATATGAAATATCGGAGATCTGTTTATAATATAACAAATCTTTGAGTATGTACTCTGGCCATGGAAACTTAGTTGTGACAATTCGGAATCTCACACAGAAGCCTTTTGCTTTCATGTCTTTTCTACAAACCATTTTCATTGTAATGTTGAGACAAAAATCTTGATAGGTAGAGATCCTCTATAGTAGCACAATCGATGGAGTTTTTACATTATTGCACAGTTTGCACAAGTGCGAGGGAGTCCAACCGACATGCACGCTAGTTATAAAGTAATAAAACATATTTATGTAGCACTAGTAGAAATGCACGTACGACACGCACGTGTATATTAAAAAAAATCATACGCAATGTCGAAATAATTCTCTCTCGGAGTACAACAAACTAATAGTAATTGTATTTAACAATTTAATCATGGCGTGCTCTTTCCATCAACCAGGGTCCAAGATAGGTGTAGAACATACAAACTAATAATAAATCTATTTTACAATTTAATCATGGTATGCTCACTCCCTCAACCAGGGTGCAAGGTATGCCACTTAGGATATTGATGTTGTAGTGTATGTTTCAATAGCTAAAAAAGTGATCTATTATGTCTTCTTGTACGGTTAGGTCCTTTCAGAGGAAAAAAAGGAAGGTCATAAAATATATTTATGTAGCATTCACCTGTATCAACACATGTGTATATATTTTTAATATAATCTATATCTAGTATTTAAGACAATAAATTTCTTCATCTCTTGCTTGACTCTCACCTCTCTTAATCAGTCACTCTTTGTCTCACTCCCACATTTCTTCTTTTGTCCTAAATTCGTCGTCCCTTATCTTCTCGTTTTCACGGCCGGCAAACCTAGACTGATGAAAGGAGTCCGTGACCTGAGTGTATCAACCTCCATCATAGCATCGGTTACAATTTTGGGGGCCTATGTGGTAAACGTAGGGCGATGGAATGAGTCTAAAGCCTAATAGATTGTATCATTTGTCAACAAGTGGCCTGTTACAGTTTGGAGATGCAAAACCTTTGTTGGCGTCGCATCGTTCATGTTGTGGTCTAGCCATCGAAGGCTAAGATGTCTTTTGTTACTGGTTTCTGTAATTTAGGTGCAAGGAGATGCCGCAGTGCAAGATGTCTTTGCCGAGATCGACAAGCTGCTGGGGCGTTCTAGCCTGGACAAGAAAACAGAAATGGTGTCCAGCGCATGAGCAAGGAAAAAAAGATTGGGTGCAGGTCCAACAAGTTCATGTAATGTAAGCCATCTCACATGATAGGAACTTCTCCAACCGGATATAGTTGAAGTATAGCTAGGGCGACACGTACATGTAATGTAAGCCGTCTCACATGATGGAAACTTCTCCATGTGGCATAGGAACTTTTTCTCCAATTGTTAATTGTACGCGAATGGAAGCAACAGATCATTCGTAGGTTGCGATCGAGGGCTTAAGAGATCCTTGCTGCTGTACATGTTTTGTTGCTGTCTTGTGAACATACATGTCATGTTTGTTTCTCAACTGGAGGAATGGTGTTAATGCATTGATTTACAGCACTAGTGATTGGTGTTGTCTTAAGGTTGATCAGTGTTGCAGCTATGATGGTAGCAGTCTCTGTGTTCGCACACGAACACGTCACCGTATGCCCCCGGCGATGAGCGCGATACGCAGCCTCGCCAGAAGCGCAATACACAAGACAGCCGACGAGGTCTCTTGATACCCGAAACCCCACACGCTCGGGAGGGACCCCGTCAGGGAGTGCGGCGGCTATGGGCTGCCCTAGCCGGCCTGACCGCTCTAGGGCTTCGCCATCATTGAAGCAATGAACATCGTCGACAACGAAAAACGAGAAGAAATAGTAGATTGAAAAACATGATAAAAGAAAATAGTAGATATATATTGATAGGTTAGATGTGTTGTCAACCGGCCTGTTACGGCTACCAGTCTGGTCGGTTTAACCAATTCCGAGCCGACCTGTGGTAAGTACATACGACTACATGCATGTGCCTTAACTTGCCTATATCTGCCTTATTTATTTACGGTAACCAGCACTCCACAAAAATATAATAAGCATCCATCACGTGACCATCATCAGGTAAACAGGATTGTGTGCTGCACTTGGACTCTCTACTGGCACTCCTTTCCCTTCCTTCCCTTCATGCACGTATTCAACTAGGCATGCACCATACACGTGGAGAACTGGAGACCCTTTCCGTGTCGTACAGGTACAACGCTCCTCCGCCTGTGTGTCCACGGAAGATCTGGCTAGCTTGTCGTTACTGTGTGTTCCAACAAAATCATCCTTCTTTCTCTAATTCATTTGCTTAACCGTCGTGCAAATTTATCAATGTACTAATCACCAGCTAAAACACTTAATCGGCCAGACACTTCTTTACAATATTATTTTATAGCCTAATTAATCAAACTAAGGCACCTATCACCAAATCAATTTATAAGTCAAATTTGGCTATTCCATGATTCCGTAAAATACAACTAAGCCAAATTTGAGTGTCAACACTCTGATGCTTTGCTGAATCAGATACCTTCTTTCAGAGAAAGGTTTGCCATGATCTAATGCCTAAGGGACTAGCTGGCATTTCTTCATGGATTCTTTTTTTCAGAATTAAGTCTATGTAGAAGAGGATGGCAAGTGCGAGACGTGTGGCACCTTGTCCAGCAAACCGGAATGTAGCATGGTAGAATTAAGTCTCTGACGGACTACGGACCAAGATAGCTTCACATTTTCAGATTCCAGGTTGGTTTGGAAGCACAGTAGCATGGTTAATTCTGTAGCTCATGCTGATTGGTTGAACAAGACCAGCGAAAGAGCTCAATAACCTGGTGATCTCTTCTGTTCCTAGGCCCTAGCTGCAGCTCAGTAAATTTCTTGAGAAAGGCCAAGAAAAGAAGGTAAAATGTTATGCTGATGATCATTTCATTCCTGCAAGAGAAGGCATGGCAGTCAGAATACGAATTTCCCACTCCAATCAGGAAGTAAGATATATCATTGCACATTTGTTGACGAAGAGCCCTCCGATAAACATTTCAGTATGGCACAAAAACACACATATATATATGGCAACAAATAAGCAAAATGCATATGTGATTCCAAGGAAACTGGCCATTGTAGGCCTTATAAACTGCTTGTGATTACAGAAACAAAACATCGTTCATCTAAAATAATTATACATTGCACACTTACATCAACTCATCTGACTGATACTAAATTCTAGAACCTTGCTGGTCTAACTCAAGGTTATTAGTATCCCGATCCTTATCTTAGAATCTTATGATACTATAATCCTACCAAGTCCAAAAGATAACAATTCCATATATCCTAATTTTTTTGGTATCCCGATCCTACATGAAGGTTTCAAACGATCCTATATAAGATTTCATAGTATCACGATCCTACAATACTATACGATATTTGATGTAATTAACTTCCTAAATGATTTAGCTGTGTTAAAATTCTATTTAACGTCAAGATAAGTTGAAAAATGCCAAGAATTGCACTTAAATGTAGAAAAAGTAAAATTAATCAAAGTCAATAATATAGACTTAAATGTTTACAGCATATTTCAAGTATCATATAAAATATATAATTCATAAAATCCGATATGATTCCCATCCTCCGATCTGATATTGTCAGACAGAAAATCCCACATAGGATCCTGATTCCGACAACCTTGGTCTAGCATGGCACCGGCTACAGGGCTTTAGAACAGTTAGCTGTACTGTAGGGGGAACTTTATCCTCAATGTATGCTCTAATAGCTGTGACCGTTCTACGGGCTTCCCTGAGAATAGAGTCTCTCATGGGGATGCATGTTGTATCTTTTTTTCCAAGACACCTAAAACCATAGAGCGTGTCCAGTGTCAGACACTCAAGTGAAACTGCGTTGCTGAGAATATAACATGCTAGCTCAACCAAGCCCTTGGCAGAGCTAAACCCTGTGATGGTCACACTCTTGAGGCAGCAGTGCTGGTGTTCAGGCATCTGCCTCAAATGTGAGGAACCTCCAACAACCGATTCATGCTTCATAAGTTGCTGAGTCACCTGAAAGATCAATAAAAAGGAAAGTGAATGAGTAAGAATGACCTTTGCAAGATTGGATTGGATGGAATGGAATGAACAGCATAGGCCTTACATTCAAGATTAATGTCTCCAAGCAAGGAGATGCATCAAGGAAAGATACCAAAGAAAAATAATCATAGGACGAGGAAAAGCTCAATGCTGATGATATGTCAATGGACAGGTGCTTGAGGTAGAAGAATTTGCTAGACAGCATTGGTGTACTGACCACCTGCACACAATAAATGCGTGATGTCTCAGGTAAGGTTAATTATGCACAAGGTATGGTTTGACCACAACACCTTAAGTTTGAGAGTACATATACCTCCTCCCCTGAATTTAGGACTAGAGTCTCAAGATTTGGCATAACGCATGGAAACTCAGCACGTGCATAACAGACAACGTTTTTACGGTGCATGGTTAGATTCTTCATGTGCAAGGTTTCTCCAAGCGAGACTTTTGAAATTTTACCGGTAAGGAAAAAGCTGGAGAGATTTGGAGCTTTGCTCTCTATAACCTGCAGCCTCCAACACCCAAAGATCTTCAGGTAGCCGAGTCGCCGTAGCACGCATGGTATCTTCAGGCAAACTATCTCCTTGCAATCAAAGAGTTCCAGTTGCTCCAAAGCAAGAGCGTTGCAAAGAAAAGACTCCAATTCATCCCCAGTAATGCGCACAGTACAGAGACATAGACTCGTTAGGCTTCTCAAGGGGCCAAGTTCAGCGGTGGGGCGGAAGGTACAGATCCCAAGCTCAAGATGTTGAATGGAGTTTCTAACCCCGTCAGATAAAAATGAGCATGGGACATTGTACTTGCGTCTATATGGCGTAAGGGTAAGTTCTTCAATTCCTGGTGTAACTGCGTCAGCAAGCCAGTTGTCGAGATAACGGCAGGAGATATCCTCTAGATTAAGGTCCAATACCTTCAAGCAGCCTGAGTGATTTCTTAGAATGCAGTCTATTTTGTAACTAAAACTCCCTCTATGTGTATGTGTTTCTGAGCTGAGCACATCCCAGTTCAGGGTGAGATTGGGAAGACATCTCCAGGAACGTAGAAAGGCACGGGACAGGCAAGCAGCACGAGCAGCATCACGCAGCGGCATTAGGTAATGTATATGGCGCCAAATGTCCTGCATGCACAAGCATGGGTACAAGTTCAACATTGGGAAATGGTTCCTATAACCAGAGAAGAAATAGTAAGACTACAAGTTCTACCTAAGTCCCCAGGTAGCTCTGTGCATGATTGCACAAGGTGCGCCATGTTACATAGCTAGGTAGTGCAGTGATAATGTAACCATGGCAGGTAAACTGAGCATTGCATTTAAAAAAAAACTAACAATGTTATTTGTGCCTTTACAAGAAAACAGTTAACAATGGCAGGCACTGATTGATTACTACGAAATGTACTCTTTACTTGCATTAGAGCACCGAGAAATCAATGCTATCGGTTTCTTCTCAACTGTGCCAATCAAAAAGCACAAGATGACATTTTGTTGTGCAGCGATATGTTATAAATACATCAAGATAGCGGAGAATCCAAGACTCATGATAGACAGTACTTAAAAAATCTATATTATGCTCACTCAAGGAAAGTAGATGTAGATAAGGGCTTATACCCTTATAAAAAGCACTAGCTTCTTAATGTTAAAGTTTAAGATGCAATAGTTTCTTAAGATGAACTGCATCAGTTAAAAAAACAAAGCAAAGCTGCTAATTCAGTATGAGTGTAGGGCTGTAGGAAACAATTTGTTTTCTGTTTAGCACAGTTCCAAGAATATGTGTGGTTAGAGCAGTAATTGCGATATTACACTTGTACTATTTATAAGCCTTCCATCATCAAAAGTTTATGCTGCCACATACCTCAGGAAGTTCTGGGATTGAACATCTCATTATTTTGGCAGCTCGAGAATCACCATCTTGTTGACAGAGCAAACCCTTTCTTTTGTTCACTGATGAAGCATCTGCAACCCAAGAATCATGGTTGTAACTATCATGAATTGGACAAATTCATGCAGGAAAGGCAAAAATATCCTCCCAAAATCAAATTTTTAAGGAATCAACCTTGCTTACTCTGTTGTTCATGTGAAAATTTCGTTTCAATGACGACACTAGGTAATTGTCTCCAACATCTTTGAACACGCGGCAATGTTTGTAGGTTCCAATAGGCTTGTTGGATTAATCCCCTCCCGACGTGATTGGGGGGGGATTTTGACTTGTAGCCTTGTAGGGGATTCAATCCTCTCATCCCCACCAAACCGAATAAGGGGGAAATCAATTTTAGGATCAATCAAAGATTGCATATATATAAGGTTATAAAACAGATTGGTTGGGGGACCTAACCAACTGAAACACAACACCAAAGTGGCAATCTAAGTTCTGCAGTACAAGTTTTGCTGCCGGCTCACACTATCCTAAAATGAATAGGTTAGTGGACACAACAGTAAAAAAAAAAGATGATCTTTTTTTCTCCGGCGAATCGAAGAAACAGTAGTGATGAGGGGCAGGAGATGTAGGGGGCTTACGCTGGCCTCGGATTTGTTTCAGACGACGACGCTGCCGGTCGCGCTGCAGAGTTATGAGCCGCTGTAGCGCCAGTAGTCCCATGGCCGGAGCCGACGACAATTCCTTCCCGAGGGATCCAGCCGAGAAATCAAATCCGGAAGCCGGAAGCCGGAAGTGGTTTTTATCTTATATATGATAATATACCTTCCGCTCTCCGTGTTTGGTCCAGTTTAGAACTCAAATTTGGTTGGAATCCAACGAGGCGCCAAAGGAATCGCGCCTGCGCCGCCATCAGTGCGCGGAGCCGACCGGGGACTCCGCTCCGAACGGGGAGATCATCAGAAGATTAGGCTTGTTCGTTTCATCAGTAACAGGGCCCCAGGAATAATTCATGGGTGAATTGGATTCTTGGCCTTACAATTTTTAGAAGTTAGAGATTTGCCCTTACAATTTGAGAAATTGAAGATTTGCCCTTCACATTCTTGCTCTCCCTAAGCTTTGATCTTTTCTACGTATGAAGCATTCTTTAACCCACTTGCAGCACTTGTATTTCTGTATTGGACAAAAATACCCCCCTAGACAAGAGGAAAAGGGAGAGGCGAACAGGCTAAAGCTGCATCCATCCATCTCCTGTGCTTTTTCCTTCTCCCTCCCGTGTTCTCTCTCCCTCCTGTGTTCTTCCCCTTTCTTCCTCAACAAACCCTAAAACTGGAGAGTGGAGACAGCAGGCGATTGGAAGCCGACGCGCGACGATAGGATCTGCGGCTGCGATGAACCCTAACCACCCGTGCGTGTCCAGTGGTGGCGATGGAGGTGCCCTGATGGAGGGACTGGAGTCGGGCGCGCCGATTTGCCGCACTGGTGCGGCAACGATGGAGAACACTGCTCATATGTAATCTTTCCTCCTCCTTTCCCTTGTTTAATTGTGGTGACCACAGTTCCCTTGATTTGGTGGAATCGATTAGCTGTGCATGTATACACTTTAATTTGGAGTTTGATTTACTGCATGGTAGGGATGGGATGTTTGTGCTAGAGGTTAAAGTCTAAGATTTTGCTTCCAAAGATTCTGCTAGTAGGAAATGTTACACAAAAGGCCATGTGTTTAAGTGGGATGTGGAGTATGAGTCAATATCACTGGACTTACTGTTGAAAAATCTGGCAACTGAATTGAATCTGAGCAGTAACCAGACACCCACTGTTTGGTTCTTTGACAAAACATTGAATGAGGATACCAGAGTAGTTGGTGAGATTCAAATGCTAGATTTGTTTGAAATGTATAAGGAGGAGATGAGCTGTGAGGTTGTGGTAGATGTATTCGATAGGTCAATTTATGTGGAAGCTAAATTTGATGCCATGGAGCCTGTATGTGTGGTTCCTCATGATGATGCAAATGTTCAATTAGAGGCAGAGACAGCTGCCAACATGTCTAAAGAACCCACTAATGCTGCTCCTGATAATCCAGAGGCAACTGTTGATGTCGAGCCAGATAGAGAACCCGATATATTTGATAATGCTGAGGAATATGTGGGTGTTGATGATAAGGCCATGTATGGGATTGTGCCGGTTGCTCCTCAATTTGCAAAGCCAACTAATAATTCTAACACTAATGTTAGGGCTAAGCCAACTTATGCTGAGCCATCTGATCCATTCTTCCATGTTGAGGTAGAGGCAGAGGTGGATGATGCTGACCCTCTCGAGGTCCAAGTACTGCATGATCCAAACAACCCAAAAATAGAGGTGGAGGCGTTGTTTCCTGATATAGTTGTATTCAGAAAAGCAATAAGGCACTATGCTGTGAATAAGGGGTTTGAGCTTTTTGCTGGGTACAAATCAGATAAGTCAAGATTCACAGCTAGGTGTGCTGCTGAGGGATGCCCTTGGAGAATACATGCTTCCACCATTTTTGATAAGAAAATTGTACAGGTACATTCTTTGTAGTTGTTGTTTTGTATTTGATAAATGTTCTTGTTTATATTTGCAAAAGCATTACCATGTCTATCTGCCTTTCTATAGATCAAAAAGCTTCCTTCAGATCACGATTGTCCTACCACCAAGCTTAGAGTAGGGAGAATGGCTTCTCAGGGCTGGTGTGCAGATAGGCTTGAAGATTGGGTAAAGAAGAATCCAACAAAGAGAGCAAAGGAAGCAAAAGAGAAATTGGGGGGTGACTTTGGAATTAAACTAAAGTACTCAAAAGCTTGGTCTGAATTGAACGTCGCCTTGGATAAAGTTCATGGTACGTATGAAGAGAGCTTCCAACTTCTTTTCAATTGGGCTGCTCAACTAAAACAAAGTTCACCTAGAAGTCATGTAGACATAGAGTTAGAGAAGATTGGTAAAAAATATAGGTTCAAGAGGGTTTTTATTGCTTTGAAGCCATGCATTGATGGATTCCTAGCTGGTTGTAGACCTTTCATTGGTGTAGATGCATCCCTCAGCAGATGATGATGCTGGACCATCCAAAGTTGATGATGCTGGACCATCCAAAGGGAATAAAAAGAAGGCTTCAAAGAAAAAGACAACTTCTAAGAAGAAAAAAACACCGTTGAAGAAGAAGCAGAAGAAGGATGCTGCTGCTCCTCTAGCAAAGGTTATGAGAAGCCTGATGGACATGTTCTGTGGAGGACACTGAGACTGATGGTGCATTTCCAGATATTTTGTGACCTTTGTTTTGTAATATAATGTTAGTGAATTGTCAACTACATGTCTTTGATGGCAGCAAACTGTGAACTGTGTGTGATCTATGATGGAAGTGAACAAGTTAAAATACTTATGTGAATCCTGTTGAATTTTATTTGATGACAAGAGCATTACTCAATTAGATGATAGAATGACAAGAGTAAAGCTCAATTATATGACAGCATACACCACCAGATTGCTTGTTATGGTCGGAAAGACCTATACAAGGAGAAGTGGCAAGACCTATCAGACCTAAGCATTGGCAAGACCTAAGAATTGGCTACAGCCTCAGGAGCCTAAGCTCTAACATTGCTCAAATAGATAACAGAATGGCAACAAGGCTGCAAATTCCAAACTCAATTATTAGCAAATAGCTATTGTCATACATCTGATAGGAAAAAGCCACACACATGGCTACATCACTTCCAAATTGTGCTCAGAATACAACCAATTACTACACCTACACACACAGCTGCAATAATGACATAGTCCTTCTTTAGAAACTCTACTTGCACCTTCAACTTCGAGACATCATTCACAGCATTGTCAAGTTTAGCCTTTATTTTATCGAAATCTTCCTTGAACTCTAGAATAGGGTCGACAGACCCATGTCCACCATCTGCACAACTGGGAAGGATCGCCTTCTTCCACCAAATTGGATGCTGCTCTGGATTGCGTAGGACATCTTCATACTGCTTCTCGGACATGATGATGCCACATGTAGTTGGGTCATCCTGCAACCGATGAAACCATACCTTCATGACCACCATCCAAAAGCACAAAATTGAACAAAAAAATTTGACTTACTTTGATGTTGTTCGGACACTTGACGAAGGTCTGGCCAAAAGTGGCCTGTTGCTTGCTTCGGATCTGTACTAATTTCACCTTGCAAAGTGTGGCGGGTCCACGAGTGGGGCGAAAGTGAGCTCGATGCCCCCAAGCCGGAGCCAATGACACCTCCTCCTATATACCGACCGCCACTCATCTGGGCAACAACAGCACCATATGCACATGACAAAGACAGGCGGGCGTCAACGGCGATAAGAAGCAGATGCGCCAAAGGTCGGGCCACGATGACAATGGGGTGTACCAGGGAAAAAAGGAGAAGAATGGAGCACCTCCAATCGCCGTTGCCTTCAATCGTCGGTGTCGCCTTCAATCTGCGCGGCCACCGCCTCTCGCCGTGCGGCCGCCTCCAATCGCTGCGCGCCGGCCTCAAGGAGCCGCGTGCCCAGCTCCAGTCGCCGCACACGCCCACTGCCTGTTGCCTGCGCGCGCGCCTCCAGTCGCCCGTGCGCGCGCCCGCCTCGACCAGCCACCTCTAGTCACCCGATCGTTGGCCTCCAATCGATGGCTAGGGTTCTTCGATTGAGGTAACAAGGAAGAACACGGGAGAGAGAAACCGGTGAGGGAGATAGAGAAAAGACCGTGGGTTCAATACCCGTTCGGTTGAGTTAAAGATTGATGGGACCCAGGGGCATTTTGGTCCAATACAGAAATACAAGTGCTGCAAGTGGGTCCAAGAAGGCTTCATACGTAGAAAAGGGCAAAGCTCAGGGAGGGCAAGAATATGAAGGGCAAATCTCCAATTCCTCGAATTGTAAGGGCAAATCTCCAACTTCTGAAAATTGTAAGGGCAAGAATCCAATTCTCCCATAATTCATAGTCGGAATAATTCAATAATTTGTACTAATTTTGAGAAGCTATAACGGTTTCTTGTGTATTCTGAGAAAACTGAATAGCCCCTAAATGAAAGTAGACCCACCAAATCCGATCTGCAAGTGTGTTGGGTCGTGTTAGGGCTCTGATTTTTCGACCATGAATCAATCTAACCTGAAAAAACTCAGCTCAAAGTATGAAAACTAAAAAAACAAGAAATAGTCCAATAATAGTGCGTCGAGCACGTATCAAAGATGATTGGGTCATTTTTCTAAACCAAGCCCGACGTTTGATTAAGTCTAAGTGAAACACATATTGTAACCCTATATAAGAAGGGGAACGAAGATAAGGGCCCGGCCAAAGATGTATCTGTTGTCAATTTGGGATCCATGGGCGAAGAAATTTCATAAGTGGGCCAAAACCAGTCCAACCGCACGAATCAATTTCAAGTTCCAACTCAGGAGCTCTTTAGATCACAGGAATTCTAAAGAGTCACATGTCGGTGTTTTCGGACCACTGACGAGTAAATTTGTATTTGTACGTCTGGCTCGGATGGTGTGCTCAAAGGACACAAGGGTTTATACTGGTTCGGGTGGAACGTTCCTACGTCCAGTTTGCTGCTGCTCGTGTTACTGACACTTGGTTTGCAGTAGGAGTTACAAATAGGCGAGAGAAGAAAAGGATCCCAAGTCTCTGGTGAAAAGAATGAACGGGTGTTGAGAGCTCGATCGCTACTCAGTCATGTGCTCGTGTCGTGCTGTTGT